TTATTTAAAGAATAATAATTTCTCAAAATCAACTCAATGACAGATCAGGCCGGGTCGGGCCGGGTTGCACGTTTTCATTCTTTTTTTAATTTTTTTTGAAGGTGGGTCATAGTTTTCCACGTGTCAGCTCTATATTGGACTCCACAATCAGCTCTGTATGCTGAGTCCTGATGTAATAATTTTTCGTAAATATGTGGGTTCATAAATAGAAAAGAAAAAAATGCATTCGCAGTAATTAAGTAATGATGTAGGTGGTACTTCTGTAAATACATAAATTTTGGATACTACATTATGAAATTAAGCCATGTGGTAATAATTACTTTCTGTTTTTTATAAATGCAAAGCTCAAAAGTACTGCTATGCAGGACGACAATTTTCATGCAAATATCAATTATCCTTCTTTATTTATTATTATTTCATAAACAACTCGTACTCAGATTTGCTAACTAGTTCTTGTTCTATCAGTTCGTTAAGCCTAACGAGTCCAACACGAACAAATTTTTAAGCTCTAAATGTAAACGAGCCGAAGACGAACAAAAGTTTGTTCGCTCGTGTTCGGCTAAAATTGGCTCCAAAATAAATAAATAAATAAATAAATATGCATTATAAATATTGAAAATAAATAAATAAATAAATATGCATTATAAATATATATATTGTGGACCCACATGCATGTAAGCCCTCTTAAAAAATAATAGATTTTCTTAATTTTTTTATTTAAAAAAATAATTATTCAGGCAATGGGAGAAGGGCTTATAAATTATTTGGGTCAATTGGATTTCGAGCCGAACACGAGCATGATTAAGTTTTTTTGAGTCAAACACACCGTTCACGAGACATTTCGAGCATGAGCCCAACTTGAGTTTCCTTAGGCTCGGCTCGTTTACAGTCTTATCCGCAGTAACTAGCTACGCACACATTCTTGACGTCTTTGGCGAATCCATATCAAAATTCTTTAAAATAAAAATTCTATCTAGGTTTCAAAATTAGGAGCTGTTATTGATCGTGCTTATTTACTATTTACAAATCTAACTCCATATTTCATTCAATTTTCAAATTGTCACTCATATATCAAAATTGACGGTAAAATCCCAACCTATAAATATATTTTTCATTTCTATCAAATTCTCAATGTTTTGATCATGATACTTTTAAATGAGTTGAATCGATAGTTCGAAAAAAAATCAGTTGGGCGTTAATATTTTGAAAAGTACTGTTTGTATATGCAAATATCCCTTGATTTAATTGTCGAGCTCTTTATAATTTTGTAAATAGTAAAGTCTGTGTATTTAATTGTGATTGTTCGGGCTGTAAATGTAAATATACCTTGATTTATGGTTTGTTTGGGGCAGCTGCAGTTTATTGAATAATCTACTGATAAATTAGGTTCTGTGGCTATTATAATTTTTATTTTTTTTGAAAAGTCAGACCGCAGCCAGAAAGCTGTCACCGTATCTAGATAGGTGCGGTGTGAAAACGTTGTTTTCAGGATTTTGAAAACACATAAGCTGTCAAAACGCAGTTTAGCCAAATAGGTCAGGCGGGTTTTAAAAATACCACTGCCCCAAACAGACCCTTAATTGTATTGTCTGAATATGTAATTGTGATTGTAAATAGTACCATCTTTTTTTGTAAATACAAAGGAATGGGTGGTATGCAGGTAAATGCACGCTACTTTTAATGAAAATACTGCTCATAAAGTGGTCGATGTTAATATAAAAATTAAAATATGGGGAAAAAAAACCCCTAGACCAATAAGTAATATTAGCCAACTCTATTTGTGTTTAGCTTAATTCCATATGAGTGGCTTATGAGTTGACTTTGACCACTAGTCAGTCTTAGTAATGTTGAAGTCAACATGCTAGAGGAAGACCTGTGAGTTGACCTTGTTTTTTTTTTATTTGGAAGAGGCATTTGCATACATAGCACCCAATTTCCATGTATTTACATATCTAACATTTAAACTTTAGTTTATTTATTTTTCTACTATTTAAATCTTTTATTTCATATAAAAAATATCATTATCTTAACTTTTTAAAAATGAAATAAAGGTGACATATGTGAAAAATAAAATGTGTTAGAGATATAAATACATAGAAATTTTGTGGTATGCATGTAATTCTTCCTATTTTGGAAATGTCTATTACAATGGTCAAAATATATACATGTCAAATCTTCCTATTTTAGAAATGTTTATTATAATGAATACAAAACTTATATCTCATTACAACTCACTAGTACGACCGACATGATCGGTTATGGTCTACGTGGTTCCCAGCTTATGAAGTTCTTAACTCATGCTCCTATGGCTTGCAGATGTAATCACAACTCATCACAACGGCTTACGTGGCATGCAACTCGTGCAACTCTCAACTTCGGACTCTGCGGCCTACGGACGTCGTCATAGCTCACCATTACAACGTACGTGGCGTGCAACTCCCAAGTTTGAACTCTGCGGCTTACGAACGTCGTCACAGCTCACCACTACTGTCTACATGGTGGATAACTCATGCAACTCCTAACTTTGAACCTTGCAGACAATGGAAGTTGTCACAACTTGCAACTGCGGTTTACATGGTGCACAGCTCATACAACTCCCAACTACAGACTGTGCTGCCTACGAACATCATTACAACTCACTACTACGACCTATGTGACAAACTGTAGCATACGTGTTTCAAAACTAGTGCATCATCGGCCCCGACCTCGTCCCCGACCCCTATAGACCTACGGACATCATCACAACTATTCATTACCGCCGATGGGGTTAGTTGCGGCGTACAAGGCTCACGACTACTAAAGTTTTCTACTACAGTTGTTGTGGTCGAACGAACTTTCTTAAGCAATCATCTACAATTCACATGATCAACTACTACCATGGCTGTCAACTACAACCTATTGTACAAACTTATGATGCGACCACTGTCAACAACATTCACAACAAACTACTGCTTCAATAACAATTAACTTTTGTCTCTTGCAATCTATTATTATCGAGAACCGTATTTATTACAGTCAGACAACAACTATTATCAATAAATCATTGTTGTACATTTATATTAATCATCTTTGTAACTCATTCTTTCCTAATTCAGGAGAAGAGTGAACATGTGAATTCATCATTCATAGTGAATTATTTAAACTGAATTAGGTATTGTGTTTTTTTTTTCCCCCATTTTGAGGGTTTGCCACGTAAAAATCGAGGTGTCTCTTCTTACTCACTCCTCTCTTTAACCATTGAGTGTGTGTTGTGTTTTTATGTCACTAAGACGCTAAACTTATGAATCCACCACTGCGATCCTTCCAACACACATCATGAGCTTTAACCTTTATTATCATGAGATTTGTTTTACACAAATATTAAAAAAAATGCTAATCATATATTTATAATTTAAAAAAATTATTATTTTTTCAATGAAAAATACAATCATAATAGGCACAAAATCATCTATTTCACCTGACCACAATAAATATCGGGTCAATTGTCAATCAAATATTAATGACAATTACAAATAATTAATGCGCTATGAATCTTATGCTGAATTAAATTGACGCAATGTGATCACAATTATTTTGTGCTCGACTTTATAACATATTAATTAAAAGGTCGATTACATGCAGGCACCAAAAACATTGCTATTTACAAATTAAGCCTCCTCCTTCATCCTTGTTTTCAATTCTGACTCAACTATCAAAGATTATGTTAAAACTCTAGCCCATAGTTTTCATTTTTATAAAATTCACAATGATTTAATTTTGGCATGTGTAAATTCATGGATTTGATAGTTCAAAAAATCACTTTGTGTTAGATATGACTCATATACTAGATAAGGGACAGATGCTGGAGCGGAACGGAGCGGAAACATCTGTCCAATTGGGGGGAGTTACGTTATGTGAGTTGGGGGTGCGGGGGCAACTCTCTCGTGGTACGGTACATAGATAATTTTATAATTACATATTATACTCAATGAATATATATATATATATATATATATATATACGTATTGCTACTCTAAGGGGTATTCTATACACTTTTTTTGAAAAAAACAAAGGCCGACACTTTGCTCCCGATGATGTGGGCATTTTTGCCAAACCTCGTTAAATCTCTGTATTTTATTCTGAATTTGCATCGATTCTTGCATTTTCTTCGCCCTAATTTCTCGACAATTTGTAAATAGCAATATTTCTTGTGCTCTATATGTAATTATCCCTAGTTAAAAATAAAATAAATAAAATCTTAAAATATAATCTTTTGCTGAGAATTCAAATTATTTTTAAAATATATTTTATGACGAACTATGAAATTGATGCAATTAGGTGTGTTACCGTGAGAGTTTAATAAAAAAAAAGAAAATTAAAAATGGAAATTTTATCTTAAATTTTAAGAATAAGATCGTAAATTAGTTATCAATAATTTAAATGTAATTCTTTTAGTCTCATAGTCTATAAAAATGTCAAAATCATTCTTGATTATTTAAATTTGTGTTCTAATAGTTCTTCCATGTGATTATTTCAACATCAATTGTAAGTGTCTCGAGATTAGAGATGTAAATGAGTAAAGACGGCTTATGAGTTGAGTTTATTGAGCACAATTAGAGCTTGTCCCTGCTTGGCTTCCCAGCCGATTTGATTAATCTATCACTAATCATTTTGATGTATTTTTTTTGGTGAGTTGTGAGTGCATCACACCCGTTTTCCTCCGACCACCAATGCATTCTCCCTAGAGTTACCTTAAAAATGAAATTTTTAATTTGAGCTCGTGAGTCAGCGACTAATACTTCGAGCAAAGCTCAAGCTCACAATTTAACAGACGAGCTAAGCCCTAGCTTGGCATGGCTCGTTCTCAACTTGATTCATTTACACCACTATTTAGAATTATTTTAATATTTATATTAATAGGCGGAAATTAAAATGAATTAAAAAAATAGAAGAAAATTAATAATATTTGGACTACTATGCATGTAATAGTCCCATTTTAGACTAAAATTCGATATGAAATTTCAGAGCCGAACAGCTTAACTCCTGAACCAAACAACCTGCTCCTCCCCAACCTTTCCCGCAATCACTGCCGTCAAATCCCTCCATCAATGCCCCCTTCGCCAATCATTTAATGCATTCCACCATCTTCCTCTGATCCTCTTCGCTCCCCACTCCATGGCCGCCCTCCTCCTCCTCCTCCTCTCCATCCTAACCTCCACCCACTGTTCCTGCGACTCATCACACCGCCACCTCCTCTCCCTCGCCTTCTCCTCCGTCTCCGGCTTCCATCTCCCACCCCCATCCCCCACCGGCGCCTGCATCCGCCACCTCCACCTCCCCTCCCAAAACCTCTCTGGCACCCTCTCCTGGATGTTCCTGCGGAACATCACCACCCTCCAAACTCTCGACCTCTCCTCCAACTCCCTCGACGGCTCAGTCCCCGGCAGCTTCTGGTCCTCCCCTGCTCTCACCGCAGTCAGCCTCGCCGGAAACCACCTCGGCGGTCCTCTCCGGTTCGAAAACTCCGGCCTCCGGTTCCTCAACCTCTCGAGCAACAGGTTCACCGCCGCCTCCAATCTCTCGATTCTCCGCAGCCTGAAAGTCCTCGACTTGTCCCACAATAAGCTCGGCGTCACTCCTCCCGGTCTGAACTCACTTCCTAATGTCGAATATTTGGATTTGTCTAATAACTCCATGACAGGGTTGTTCCCAAGTGACTTTCCGGCAATCGCCGGACTCCGGTTTCTGAACCTGTCTTACAATAACCTCACTGGAGTGATTGATTCGGCGGCGCTGGATAAGTTTGGGAGCTCTGCTTTTGTGAAAGGTGGGATTTTTACCTACGCAGCGCCTCCCAGTGAGAGACATAAAGAGAAAAAGCATGGAAAGGATAGGGCTTGGAGGACGGGATTGATTGCAGCGGCGGCGGCGGCGGTTGGTGTGGTCATCATTGCAGTGGTGATCGCCGGAGGTTTCTATCGCCGTAAAAAAAGATCGCCGGAGAAGGAGAGGCGGGAGGTGCGGGAGGAGGAATTGGAGTGGGTGAGGGAAGCAAGGTGGGGAGCGGCGGGGGGGGGGGTTGGGGAGGGGGATTTGGTGGCGGCGACTTCAGGGTTCGGGAGAGAGTCGTTAATGGCGGAGGGAGGGAGGAGCGGGCCGATTTACAGGGCGTTGTTGCCGGGAGATATGCATGTCGTGGTGAGAGTGATGGAGAGGGATCGAGGTGGCGATTCGTCGGCGGCGGGGGCGGCGTTAACGGAGGTTGGGAGGATACGGGGTCGGGAATTTGCTTCCGCTACTCGGTTACTGCATTTCCGGTTAGTTTCATTATTATTTTTTTAAAATTCTTATATAAAAAACTTTTAAATAAGGGTCTTTTATATGAAAAAATATAATATTATGTGCCACTGAATACGAATCGATGATATTTGTTCGCAAACAGCTCGTGTTCGACTCGTTAACATGCTCGTGTTCGGCTCGTTCTCTAAGTTAATGAGCCTAACACGAACAACAAGAATAAATATTTGTTCGTTCGTTCGTGTTGGGCTCGTTTTAACTCGAAATACTTCTAATCATTTTTATAAAAATTAATAATTTGATGGTGGCAATTGTAAATACGTCCATTTGGCATTAGGAAATTCAAAAAAATACGGAGGATTAATTTGTAAATATTAATATTTTAGGTGATCTGAATGTGATTATCCCTAAATATTATATTAGAAGCTTAGATGTTAATCTAACTACTTAGCATGGTATAATTTATTTACTATTCTCACCTTTTCAGAATAATAAGGCTAATGTTTCATTCTCTTTTTATTGGTATTAGAGAATATATAAATAAAATTATGGTCCTCCGACATAGTGAATTAGTGATTACAAAATTCATTATAAATTCTCTTCAAATTATAATATTAATCTTCCAAATCGAGAAATAATTAAAGTATTTAGCCGGGTCATATTTATAATTAATAATTTAAACTAAAAAAGAGTTTTTTCATGAATAAAAGCTACTAAAAGTTGCATTTTTATATTGGTCACCCCAAACTTGTTATTTGCAAATCAACCCTCATCTTTCGTCCACATCTCAATTTCTCGCCCGAGATATCAAAATTCATGGTAAAACCCCAGCTCGTATTTTTTCATTTTTATGAAATTTTCAATAGTTTAATTGATGCACTCTATATCTGTTCGGTAGTTAAGAAAAATTATTTAGATAATTAATTTGTAAATATCAATGTTTGGGATGGTTTATATGTAATTATCCATTTTGTGTAGTCTCAAAATTTTGAGTGTAAATATGGAAAACATGATGTAAGATATGTAAGCATTTAAACATTACGTGATACCCATGCCAATGCTCCTAAAAATAATTATGATTTAATTATTATATTATTACTTATTAAAAACAGTGTAGAAAATGAAAAATAAATAAATAATTTATTAGAAAATACAATTTTTTTTTTACAGTATATTAATTTGTTTTATAGTTGAATGCGTGTTGCATACGAAACATATCATAAATGTGTACATAATGCGTGTTTTAATATTCTTAAATATAGTTTATTATATTTAAATATTCTAGCCTAGTATTTATTTTTGTAATAAAACCCTAGCTTTCCCCAAATTTTGCTTTCCGTGGTTGATAGATAAATAAATAAATATTATGTATGTAAATTGGTTGTTAACTATCCCATTTAATATTCGCTCTACAAAAATTCGGACAACGCATTTTCAGACGGCTAATCGCTAGCCGCCAAGTCTCCATACAATTTATCAGTGGGCGACATGGCAGGTGGTGGTTGGCCGTCCAGACTTGTGAACGTCTGGACGTAATATTTTTTTTTCCTTTTTTTTAGTGAAGTTAAATTCACTAAATTCATTGCTATGATTGAATTTTGATCCAAAGCTCTGCTCAAAATAGGCTTGAAAAAAAAAAAATCAATTTTAAATTTTAGCTCTTATTTTGATTTAATCTCAATTCAAACCAAAATTTGAATCAAATTTCGAGATATAAACTCTCAGGTCTAATTTCCAGGAAGAGAAAGGCTGCTCCTTTACGAGTACATGGAGCGCGGCGATCTCCACCGTTGGCTCCACGAGCTGCCCGCCGGCCACCCGCCCGTCG